CGTTTTCATTGAGAGTAACGTATTGTTTAGCTCTTGTTTGTATAGCATTCAATATGCAAGGCGACATGGATCAAAAGGGTCGTCAGACCATGAGACAGACATAGCAGATGGCTGTTAAAAGAAAAAAATGTAAATCCATGTTAGTTTCCATATATGGGCTCTCGATAAAATAGCTACTGCGGAAGATCTTGAGAATATTGAACAAGAAATGGAGGTTGCCATAAATGCAACGACATCCTCAGCTAACACATCTACTGCCGTGGCGGAACGCCCAGACCAGTTGCGTGACAATAATGTGGCCAACAGATTCTATATAGTTTGTGAAAAACATTGTGGTGCAGCTCATTCTTTTGGATCCTGAAGCAGACGAAAGGTACGGAGGGAACATTACCTGCAGATTGTGTCACAACAAACAAGACATCATGGAACACAGTTCAGCAGCTCATACTGGCTTGCAAACTCAAGGTGCTAAGATGCTTAAAACATCAAATACAAAATTTAAAGATGGTGAAGTGGGTGACAATGTTGACAGAGGTCACGGTGATCCACGAAGCGTGATTGCAGTTGTCATGAGCGTCGAGGGCGGTTTCTACTAATTAGGAACGGAACATGGTGTTCTAAAACAACTGTATGCTAGAAGTGAGTTTTCAATTCTTCACGAAAAACTGCTCTTCTTGTCGTCAGTTGGCACTGAGGAAAAATCACTACGAACCATCGCATCTTCACAATCATTGACTGTGGGCCAAGGCTACACTCGCTGCAATTGCACAAATAAGTACACAACAAATCGCTGCAAGTGTAAAAATAACAAGCTGCTATGTAATTCTAAATGCTATAACAGTTCAACTTGTTGTAACAAATGATGATATTGATAGATTGAGACTATAGTACAATAAAAAATTTGAATGTTTCTGTCATTTACTTTAATTAATAATCAATAAAGTCTTAATTTCATGATCCTCACGGCATAAAAAAAAACAAAATCTGCTCATGATCTTCTAATTCGGACTTTGGCCGGTCGTCCCTAGCCAGATGATCTTCTAATTAAGACTTTGGCCGGTCCACCATGGCCAGTCTGCGGATTGGCCGGCCAAAGGCCGAAATCAAGCAAAGTTTCGGACTTTGACCGACCTATGGGAGGCGATATTGGCCAATGCGCGGATTGGCCGGCCAATCCTAGCATTGGCCGACTTCGGGCTTTGACCGTAACATATGTATATATATATATATATATATATATATATATATATATATATATATATATATATATATATATATATATATATATATATATATACGAGAAAAATGGCCCGTTGAGGAAGGGTACAACGGGCGCTAGGCTGATAGTGCTGTCTCTTTTCTCTAAACTAAAACCACCCCACCCCCCCCCCCACACACACACCACCCCCCCCCCCACCCCCACCCCCCCAAAAAAAATGTCTACCGTCCCATTCAACGAAATATAATTATATACTTTTTCCAGTGCCCGCCCCCTCCCAGAAAATTCTACCCCCGCCACCGAAAATTTCAAGTACCTCCACCCCTCTCCGGGGAGGAAAAAGTCTAAACTAAAACCACCCCCCCCCCACACACCCCCCACCCCCCCCCCACACACCACCCCCACCCCCACCCCCCACACACACCACCCCCCCCCCCCCCCAAAAAAAAACATGTCTACCGTCCCATTCAACGAAATATAATTATATACTTTTTCCAGTGCCCGCCCCCACCCCGAAAATTCTACCCCCGCCACCGAAAATTTCAAGTACCCCCCACCCCTCTCCGGGGAGGAAAAAGTCTAAACTAAAACCACCCCCCCACCCCCCCCCCCCCACACCACCCCCCACCCCCCCACCCCCCCAAAAAAAAAACATGTCTACCGTCCCATTCAACGAAATATAATTATATACTCTTTCCAGTGCCCGCCCCCTCCCCGAAAATTCTACCCCCGCCACCGAAAATTTCAAGTACCCTCACCCCTCTCCGTGGAGGAAATAGCAGCCATAACAATCATGTATAAATGTGTCATCTAGTCCATATAGGTCTTTGTGCTAACATTTCTCTTTGCGCTTTTATCTGTATGCGCAAATTTCTGTTTGCGCTTTTTAGCGCAATTTCCATTCTGGAGAATTGCGTTTATTAACTCGTCTTTTCTGGGAATGGATGGATGGATGGATGGATGTGTGTCCGCAGCTTTTAAGTCGTATCTCCTCCTCAACGAAGCAATATCGATGACTAGTTCCAAAAGCAATTATGTTAAGCAAGTTACCAGGATGAACATAGGCCATAAAAATTCCGGGTTTCTTTCATGGATTTCCCGGAAAAGCCAAAAAACCTAGACAAAAAGCAGTTTTTGGCCCATATCTCGGCAACCAGACAATTTAGCGACTTGAAACATGTACCAATCGATTTCTGCCATAATTTAGAACAATATTGCCGAAGAAGTTTTCAAAAATATCCTTTCGTTCGGTCACAAATTTTTTTTTTAATTAATTAAAATTTGGACCGAATTAGTAGGCATTTTTTCCAACCACACCACACGCGTCATCACGTTCAATAGCTGCGCCATCACGTTCAATGGCTGCGTCATTACGTTCAGTAGCGAGGCGCGCAATGGTTTTTAGTCATGTAACTCTATTGTAAATAAAACATGTATTTTAACCAATGGTTTTACTAACCCTGCTCTTGATTTACGCTACGACAGAGCTATTTTTAGATAACATAAGGAAATTGCGCTAAAATTGTCACTAGACTTTTTAATTACCTTGTTTTCTGTTTGCGTGCGTTTTTTTTTTTCTGGTTGCGCTTTTTTCTGTTTAAGCTTTTTTTGTTTGCGCTTTTTTCTGTTTGCGCTTTTTTCCCGTTGCGCATCTTTCTGATCAACCTTTCAAACATCTCAGATAAGCCGACCCGCGGCTTATCACTATCATACGCCGCTATTTAGTTTTATTTCCTGCTTTTAAGTAATTCATAATTTGTGAATTCGACAGTACCAATGCTGCCACTGAAAATATTTGCTTAAAAACACTATCAGTAGGTCGTTAAGGACGATAATCCTTTTTTTTTTTAAAAAATACCAATATTAAATTACCGTGAAATGGTAAGTTCATCTGACTTGCTGCCCTCAACTCATGGCAACAATAGTTATGATTAGTTCAACCACCTTTACTGCCCACATTTATCACGCTCATTACATAACAAAACTTAGGATCAAAACAGAAAGCCGACAAGGTGCAAAGGCTGTCGATGACGCATAACGTCAACACAAAATATGGTCGGACAATGCCTACTGAGGAGAGGCCGACCAGAGAATAGCCTACGGCAAAATGTGCCTAAATTTCTTTTATAATTAACTTTTCTACCGCGTATTTAACTAAATACGTAACAAATGTTGAGATTGTTGTGTTAATTATCTTAGAGTATTTTTACTTACAATTGTTATAAATCATAATGCTTTTAACGTCTATAAATAATTTATGCATTCAAAAAATACAACCCACAACAATAAACATAAAAAAATGTACAATTTTTATCAAATTAATAAAAATATTTCTAAAAATATTTTTGTGACTTTTTTTCTGTGACTTTATTTCTGTGACTTTTTTTCCGATAAAATTTTTCCACTGTGACTTTTTTTCCTAGCAAAAACTGTGACTTTTTTCTGTGTTTTTTTTTCCTGTGACTTTTTTTCCGTTCACCGCGTATACAGCCTACAAACATTACATTTAATTAATCCCTAGTTAATTTGCACTCTCTAAATATTTAATACATAAAAGTATTAACAAATATCATTCAAATATATATTTGTGACTTTTTTCCTGTGGCTTTTTTTCCTGTGACTTTTTTTCTGTGTTTTTTTTTCCTGTGTTTTATTTTCCTGTGAATTTTTTTCCTACAATCAAATTTATAATAGGTCTAGGCCTAGTTGACTATTGGCCTTATATCGCACACTTAGGCTAGCCATTGGCCTATGCGGCACACAGCTACGTAGCCAGGTCACGATTGGTTAAAACTTGGGTCTTATGGGAAATATTTCAACAAGGTCAAGGACGCTCCTCTGCAGTCTGTCGTCATTTTCTCCTTTTAAATACAGGAGAACATTGTATCGAATACTACCAATACTAGAATAAAGACGAACGACACATTAACTCGTAATGTTATTAAATCAGAATATCGATATACATTTGAAGCTAACCTTTAAAAACCCTTTACTCAACACAAGGTTTCCAGCGGAAAGATCGTAGATAATTTAGTTATAACTTTTTAGAAAAAGATATAGATCTTGATTCAGTACCGTCTTAAAATCCAAGTTTAGTGAATGTTTCATGTAAAAAATCTTAAGCCCATAGGCCTAAATAGACTGCATTTTCTTTTCGAGCGATGCGGTTTCTGTTTAGCAGAGCGTCGCAAAATATAAGCTCAGTTAATCATATATTAAAACATGCGTATGACAACTAGGACATACATTAGTGCCTGTTGAACCAAAAGGCCATCTGATTTTTTTTCTTAACACAATGGTATTGATCTAGGCTTATTTCATTTACCCCAGCCCCAAACAAAATAGGCCATACTACAAATGTAGCATGGTTTATTTAACTGTGAATGTGATTGTGATTGTCTTCCAGGCTAGGCCTAGGCTAGGCCTGATTTTGAAGATACAGAGTAATACGCATGCGCACATCTTATTTACATTGTTTAATTTTAAATTAGTCGTATGTTGTAATAAAAAATTAAAATAACATAATCTTTAAAATAAAATTATTCGATACTACAAAAAGTTTATTTTATGTCAAATTATACAAAAATAAGATAAAAATTGAAAAACACACATAAATACTGATTTGGAATTCTTTTATGAAAAAATAAAATGTTGATATTATTTTAAAAAATAACAAATTTAAAATAGTATTATGTGTTTTTAAAATATAATAATGTGAAAAGTGTTTAAAATGTTTCCATACAGAGTTATAAAAATAATTCTTTTATTTTGTTAATATCTAAAAAAATTATAGCCATTCCATTATTATCAGTATTCATTAAATCGCCCCACGCGTTACATTGTAAAGGGCATGCTGGTCCTGATAATTAATGGCGGTCAAATTGTGCTAAGGGTAAGTTAAATATATTTTATAATTTTGTTGTCTTAATCCAATTCTTTAGATTTAAGTATAACAGTAACTATGGAATTAAACATAGATTCTAATTGTTTAGCCAATAAAAGTATACATCTAGATATTGCAAATTTGTGTGAAAGGATCATGTTGGTAATCAATACCAAATTCCCTGGGTCATTCCTTTGTGCTGAATTTAACTTATTTTAGATCTATTCTAATCTACAAGTTCATCAGTTACTGAGAAGACAAATCTAAATTCTAGATCTAGATTTAATCTAGATCTAGTCCGTAGACTAGATTTATCATTTCTAGGATAGATTACAGATCTTGATTTTAGTCTAAAGAAGTCTAGTCTAGGTCTAGTCTAGTTGTGTGCTCAGTTACAAAATCAAGTTACAAAATCAAGATCAAGAATCTTGTTTAATCCTAAAAGGATGTAGACTAGATCTAGATCTAGATTTCTAGATCTGATCTAAATGCATGTAAGATCTAAAATTGCATGACATTTTCTCTCGTATTGTACCCCCAACCAATTGGGAAGCTCAGTGAGAATAAATTGCGCCAAAAAATCTGCAAAAAATTTACAGCACCTGAATTCCAACATGTCGACAATTTACGACAATTTACAAGAACTTTGATGGCGACTTGAAATTTAAAAGGAAAAAATTGAGTTTGTATTGTTAAAATGTAGCAGCAAACCTATTTAATATTATTTTGGTTCCAAATAATTTGATAGATCTAGGCTAATTTTACCACACCAGAGATTTGTCAAGTATAGAACATGGAACAACTTTCTATTGTGCCGACTTGAAATTCCAACAAAACCGCCAGAAATACAGCATGTAACTTTTGAGATATCAGAAGAAAATTTCTTAACTAAACAAATAGATCTAGATTCTAGATCCTAAACAAGTGTTGTAAGTTTATTTCTTGATCAATAATCTGGGTCTTGTTGGATTCTCCTAAGGGTATTCAGGATAATTCAATGTAAAAATGATACTAAATTTTAAAATTATAGGCCTACTAAGATGTTTGGGGGAATTTTTATACCAGTATCCGAAAAGAGAATCCTCTTTAAAAAAAAGGGGTGTTCTTTAAAAAAGGGGTGTTAGGATACTGATAGTTAACAAAATACAAACACGGCTGGCTAATTGCAATGCTAACCCTCTCCCTAACCCCAACCTTAGTCCTACCATACGACATACGCCTAACCCTAAATTTCTAACCATAAAATCTGTCGAGATTATCAACCCAACACACCTATTTTATAGAAGTCTATTATCGGACTTGCAATATCTAAAATCATCCAGAAGTTTAATATTTGTGTGTATATATATATAATACTACAATAATATAATAATAATATATAATAAAAATAAAAGCTTTATTACACAAATTATGATACACAATAATCAACACACAAACCTCTCGTTCTATTTAAACACACTCAATTAAGGGCTATAACTATATTCTAAAAGAGGGTACCTGTCATTTTAGCACAAACACACACACACAGTCCAGAAAAGCGACATGTAAGTGATGTAAAAGGTCTAGATAATTTTTTTAATAATATAAAAACATGCCAATTTTTAACATTGCACTTATGACAGCCGCTCACGTTTTCATGTCAGCGGAAGATAATTCCAGTCTCTTTTAAGGGTCTCTGAGTTCACATTAGTGTAGATATCAATCTGCCCATAGCATACGTTATAGTATAAACAATAAGTTCATTTGAATTGTTCTTTAAGAGAATAAAGCATGTACAAAATTTGTTGGTATGGACGCTTATTTTTCATTGTGTGTTCACATAAACCAACTATCATGCATGCAACTTTCTTTGACAGAGTGTGTTCTATCAATAGGCGTACTGTTTTGTAAATATATCATTAAATATGGAGCACTAGGTCTAGTTGAGAACCATAAGAAAATTTCGGACTGATATAAAACTTAACAAACCCCCTTAAATGAAGAGTAGAAGAGGAAGAAAAATCATGTACTGATGTATGCAACACATTTAAATTTAAAATAAGGTCTGGCATTTTGCCGCCTCGCAGCTTTTGCATCTTTCATTTTACCATGACCCCTTATGTGAAAATGTACTTTTTCTTCCTTCTAGTCAGAGGCGTAGCGATGGGGGGGGGGGGGGGGGACATATGTCCCCGGCGCCGACCTTATGTGGTGCCAAAATGGGTTGGAAAAATAATTGAAAGTTTGAGGGGGTGGAAATAAAAAGTTTGAGGGGGGGTGCAATTTCGAAAGTTAAAGGGGAGGGGGGATGGTGTAAATCAAAAGTTTGAGGAGGGGTGCAAATCAAAAGTTTGAGGAGGGGGTGCAAAATCGTAAGTTTGAGGAGGGGGGCGCAAATCAAAAGTTTGTCCCGGCGCCGGGAAGGGTCGCTACGCCTTGCTTCGAGTAGGCCTATAAACTTATGTCAACTCTTAATGATTCTTAGTACACTTTTTATCTTCTTGGTTGGGGGGGGGGGGGGGAATAAAAGTATATAATGTAAGCAATATGGAAAATTTGAAATGGTACTTGGGGTCATTGAGAGTGCATATGTTTATAGCCTTAGTACTAGATCTAGTAACACACATTTTTCAACTATGTGACTTCCAAAAACTTTCAACTAATGTAAATATTTTTGTATAAAATTTAAAAAAAAAAAAGATCTATTATAAAATGTTGCCCTTCTTCAAAGGACAAATACTTCAGTCGAGCCTGAGCCTGGTTCGTGTTTGATATAGCTTGTTTTAGGAAAAATAAAAATGACGTCATTGTGATGTGTGCTCTAGGCTTACTAACTATATTCTGAGCTCAAATGAACTCATTGTGACCTTTCTACCATTTCTTGTTTGGGAGGGAGGGGGGGGGATACCAGCGACAAATTGTAAAAGCGCGACAAATTGTAAAAGCAGTCTACTACTATTAGGCTAAAAGCATAATCTATATATATAATTCTCTTCTGGGATCAGTTAGAAAACAAGCTGCAAGCGCGCCTTTGCAGTCCCCTCTCTTCCTCTCTATCACTATCACTACCACCCCCACCCCACCCCCACATGATCTGGTGAGCGGTGTTCACTCTGTTTACATTTTACAATCATAGAGACGGGTTTGGTGACGGCTATTAGGGGCAGATAATTTAGTTTGAAACGATTTTAAACTTAGAGGAGGTAACTAAGAGGAGGCTGCTTTCACGTGGGGGGGGGGGGTAGTGATTTTAAGCAAATATTTTCAATGGCAGAATTGGTACTGTCGAATTCACAAATTATAAATTACTGAAAAGTAGAAAAAAAACAACTAAATAGCGGCGTATGATACGCAACGGGTCAGCTCGTAACAATAATTGAAGATGTGGCTTGGTTATTATCAAGGTGGTAGTTTCGGCTCCAATGTTTTTTCAAGTAATTCCAAAACACCGTTTAAAAAAATTAAAAGATCCCTTCTAATTCAACTAATTCTTTCAGGATTAGTGTTAAAAATAGATACCTTTTCCATCTTTAAGAATCTAAGACTCATTAGATTGATAACAAAGTGGGCAACTAGATCATTACATTTGTATTAGTTAAATGTTGAAAAAAAAATTCCCTTTTTTTTTTATTTTAAAATCTATTTTTTAAAACCCATTAAATTGTAATTAGAAAGGGCTTTCATTGTTATTTTAGAGTAACAGAAACTTCTTTTATTTAAGATATTAGCAAATGTGGCCATACAATACAGATTTCTTAATTTTAAAAATCTGGAATTTATTAAGAACTCCTGGAAAACTCATGAAATTTATTTTTAGTTTTGGAGCATGAACACTAATTTAAACATTTTTGACCAATATCTAGATCAAGAAAAAAAAAACCAACTCATGATAGATGTACTAGTTTAGTTGAAAAATTTTTTCTCACTTTTCGAGAAAATAAAACAAATGTCAAGCAAATAGTGTCTTGCTATTTATCCATTAATTCCATTGGTGTGTCTCACATTTACTTTTCGTAGTTCTCATGTGTTTTGCATTTTCCTAACACTGTAGAAATCTAGCAAGACTGGAAGGTACCAGGCTGCTAACCCGCACATCTTAAATTAGAATCTTGATTTAGATAATAGGCTTCTAGCATGAATTCCCTTGGCATTGTGCAGACCACAGTATCCCTTCACATTCAGAGGTCATAGAAACACACACAGGTGAACTTCACTTCATTTGCCCCATGGACCGTCGGGTTAAAAAAGGGTACTTTTTATATTACCCAGGATAAAGTACATCAGCACGGATGCTACTTTGTTAAGCAGAAAATAAATACTTAAAATAAGGAAAAAAAAACATGAGACCCTACACACAGGAGGTATTAGTAGTATGCATAGGTTTAGTATATTTTTTTACGAAGTTAAAAAATAGCCAGCTTCTATATCTATATACTACAGCTTAACTTCAAATTTTTTCTTTAAACAACTAACAAATGCTAAAGCTCCTCGTCATAGTCTTATTGTCATAAATATTAAATTCAGCGAGCATCTATATATATAATTCTCTTCATGGGGACCATAGAAGTCACCTTGCAGCTTAGCCACCACCCTCATCCCCCACCCTCATCCCCCCACCTGTCAGGTGAGCTGTGGTTCACCCTGAATGTTTACAATCATAGAGCTGGGTCGGCTATTAGGGCTAGGAACAGATAATTTAGATTTAAAAAAGGGAGGTAATAATTTCTGCCATAACTATTCATTGTCATCAGTAAACTGTCGTCACTCACAGCTGCTTTCACTGAGTTCGCGGGAGGGATGGGGAGGGAGGGTGAGGATAATCGTCTTTACCAGCTACTAATAGTGCTTTTAAGCAAAATATTTTCAGTCGCAGCATTGGTAGTGAATTTATGAATTACTGAAAAGTAGAAACTAAACCAACTAAACAGCAGCGTATGCTAGGTCGCGTGTCTGCTCGTAGTTACTAGTACATGTTTTTAGTCACAGCGCGTAGTGGGATGATCATTTTCTGATTTACTTATTTTTTATATTCACTGTATGAAACGCAAAAACTTTTTGTAAATTTTGCAGAACATTTCTAAAATATTGGTTCGTTTTTGTACCTCCTGCAATCTTGGCAGTTGACATTTTCCTTTTGAAATGTAGGCCTATGTTAACCTAGAAACTAATGACAAAGAAACATCACATTTTCCTTGCTTATTTTTCATTTTAATTTATTTAAAAAAAATGACATTGTTGCTTCCTCTTTGATTTAGTAGGACGGTGAGCATGTTTGAAAATATAAACACACATTTGTATAGGTGGTGGTGAAATGTCTTGACATCAGTGGTTCCACATTATAAAAATAATAAACAATGCATGTTATCTCTGGCAAGGTGTCATATTTGAACTTACGTTCTATCATGAGGACTAGACAAACTTTTCCTTTGCAATTGAACCTGATTCTTAAGTTTAATTGAATGTCCATAATTTGTGGGGTTTTTTAGGGGGGGGGGAGAAAATGTGAAGTCATGGTCTATCTTAAACAATGTTCCTGCTATGGCCTATACTAGGGTTAATGATTTAAAACTTGTGTGAACTCACTGTGTTCCCTTGATTCAGTCTTGTTGGGGGGGGGGGGGGGAGTGCTACACCAGCTATTTTTTTTTAATAACATAATGCTATTCTAAAATTATATAACAACATGGCTTGGCTATTATCAATACTTTTGGCTAATACAGCACCTATTTTTAAATGTTAATTTCAAGTTGAGGTCTGAACTATTTGTTATAAAATCAGCTTAAGTAAAAGCTGATCTCAGCTCTAAAATCAATGCAGGTCTTTTGGCTAAAAGATCGTTAGTTTAGGTACCTTGAAAGAAATTAGTAGTTTGATGTTAAATGCAATTTTTTACACAGTTAAGATAAAATATTAAATTGGCTTCAAAATACATTCAAAGGATATATGCCTGCTGCAGTAGATTAATCCATATGTTGCCCTTGCTAAGAATGTTTCATATACTGTTCTAGAATGTCATCCAAATTTGTCAGTTTATTTTGCTGTTTCAAAATTTATCAGATAAGCCGATTTACTTACCTCATTCATGCCTACCATCCCACGTTTTGTAAAATTGTTCTGTAAAGTTGTTTTAAAAATTGTTGTGTGTTCAGTCACTCTTTTTTTGTAAGTAAAATGCGAGTTCATGCATTAATTTCTGTTTGTTTGTTTCTGACATTTTAATGTTTTCGAAAAAGTTTGCTGCTGAGATTTTGAAAATAAACACTGAATCTTTTAATCAATTTCAAAAATTTTAATTTTTAATTATTAAAGTAATAGCGCAACATGTTTTTTAGGCATGAGTATGTAAGGAAATTAAAAAATAATTAAAATGGCCAAATTTTTTTAAAAGAAAGATTCTTATAAACCAATTTTAAAAATTCGGATGCTCTTGTACTAAAGAGCCTCAGAAAAGCTTTAACCTAAGATAATTAATTGTTACGGTTACTTCTTGATTTAAATTAATAAATCTGTTTTACTCTTTCAGATTTTACAGTATTTAAATGAATAAAAAACAGAAGGATGGATTTTGATTCATCATCCAAGTTTATTCAATCACTGGCTAAATTTCTCCAGTCTTTGTGTAATGGATACGTTGACTTTGACAAAGGAGTGGAAGTTATAGGCCATATTTACATTAATGTTGATAGTGATACTGGCAAAAAGGTTGACTATGTTTTAAATGAAAAAGTGTGTAAAAATGATAATTCCATTACTTTCATCAGCAATAGTTTTCATGCCCAACCAGCAGAAAAACCAAAGCCAATACCTAAGAAGGCAGCAGAACCTGAAAAACAAAATGAAGACACTATTGTTATGGAAGATTCAGGTCAAGCTGTTCCGAACAGCACAAATGTAGGTACTATGGGCTCTTTTAGAAATGCCTCTCCAAGAGCAATGTCTCATGAAGCAGCTTTTGTACCTGGTTCAAAACGACCTCGCACTCCGCCTCATAGGAGAAATTCGGGTAAACACAACAGCCCAGCCATGAAACATGGTATGCCTCAGTCTCCACGGTATCAAGATTCTGGTGGTCCAGCTGCCAAAATGGTCAGATCAGAAATTACCCCTAGTCCTTTAAATAATAGCAACGTTGGTGATGATTATGAAAGCTCAAATGTCTTTCAGTCTGGTGAAGAAGATGATAGTCAAAACTTTTCAGCTAATTTTCTTGAAGAACAAAGTGCTTCAGACATTGATCAAAAGCCAATCATTGATCCTGACATTAGTATTGTTAAAGAGGAATATATGTCAAGTCAACAGAGCAGTTGTTCATATTCTGGCAATAGTCAAACTTCAGGTTAGTATTTTGTTTTTTTGTTTTAGCTGAACATATTTAGTGGTGCAAACATACATCTCATGTGGGGAAATATGTAATTAATAAAGAGATGGCATGGTTCACATATATATAAATTTATTTTCCTTGAGTGCTTTTTAAAAAAAAAAGTATAATTAACAATTTACAAATAATTATAGGACCAGGTCGGGGCAAAAACCAACAGTCCTCGGCATATCCTGTGATGATTCATCCTAATCCTTCCAATTACTCAAATGCTGCTGCTAGTTCTCATCAATCTGATTCATATTCCGGTTCTTCTTTAGAAGGAGCAGGAGATCCCTCTAGTGAGTATTCACTTTTCCCCCCATTTTTGTTTATTGTGGACTTATTTTTATCTCTGCAGGTGTAAGTACATATTTGAAAAGAGGGGCTCCCCCAGGATAGGCTAGTTTTATTTACATGTACCAGTGCAACAATAAAAAATAAAATCATATAATTTAAAGCACCACATTTCAACTTCAGCTAAAATATTTACAACTCTATAGTAGGATAGCACGGATGCGAAATTTAACAGTGCGAAACCATAAAGCATATATTGTGGCACTGTAGATTTGATGCAGAATTCAGATTATAGCCAATTATTTACTTGTGAGAACCTGATCTATTTTTAAAAGATATAATATAAAGTTGCTTTCTAAATTCAGTAAAGATTCTTACTTATTTACTTTAACTTCCTGTAAATGTCTTTAAATCAATCGTTCATATTTTTTACCATGACATGTTTTGTTATTACAAATTTTGAAATTTTGAAAAAAGGCATGTATATCATCATTGTCATTGTTAACTGATGGAACGCAGCATTAACCTTATGCTTACATTTTTATATGGTTTTGTTTAAGTATTATGTTTATCTGTTGGAATATCTTTTGTACTGAAACCTTTTTGTCTGGAATAACCTCCAGGTACATACTATGTAAAATGTACTTGCAATCATTTGTAACATTTTTTAAAAACATACAATCAACATTTTCTTGAACAATTTGTATGCATTAATATTGCCATAACTTTGAATTGGATTTGTCAAATTTTATTAAAATGTCTGAAAAGTTAAATTAAGAAATTATTCAAGATTATATTCGGGCTAAAATATAAGTATTTTTTTTTTTTTAAAAAAAAGGGTTACATGATAGGAATAAAGTATTTTTATCATTACACTGTGTTTGAAGTGATTGGAAAATACATGTAATTAGAAAGATTGTTTTTTTTTGGCTCATAATACGGATTGTATAAAATTACTGCTGTATATAAAAATTTACAAATATTTGAGTAATAAAATTTGTATGAGCTCTTAATTTTTTATGCTGCATCCATTGTTTATACTTGCTCTTTGGTATTCATCTGTGAGTAAACAATCATTCTTCTAATTCTACTAATTATTAGTCGAGACAACCATGCGAGACATGGATATTTACCAAAAGAAATGTTGAAACAAAGTTTTGAAAATTAATTTTGCTTATACCTATACTGACAAGTGTGGTTTAAAATGAATTTGGACAAAACTTAAAATCAGCAATATTTTAAAAGACTAGCTGCCTATTTTGATGGTAACCAGTCCAATTGAGACTTGTCATTTCATTTTCAGTTTATATGGAGGAGTCGGAAGAAAATCAATACAAGCTTTACTCTCAGTCAGAAGACTTCAAAGTACTTGATCATATTGCACCACAGAATTGTCGTGGTAGTGCAAAATTGTCTCAAATAACTCATATAGATGGTTCTGTGAGATATATGTGTGATCGTTGTGGAAAACAGTACAGACATTATCGTGATCTGATTCGTCACAGATATCAGTGTCTGCAGAAAAAAGTCTTAGTTTGTCATGAATGTTCAAAACCATTTTTCCGCTCAGATGCATTGACATATCATATGAAAAAATTCCACAGATGTTGATAGTTAGAAAAAGTATTAAATGCTAACTTTTGTTATTGTAACTTGTAAAACAAAAGTTTTGTGCTTGAATGATGTGATTAGGCCATTTGTTTTTAGGGAATAATAATGGTTTGGAAAGTAGCCCCCCATTTCTTTTTTTTACAATTTCAGTCTTGACATCTCAATCTGACTTTGTTGAGGGTGGCAGCATTTATCTTAAAGCACAACAACCACCATTTGGTGCTGACAAGGTGCAAGTTTTGGATGCAGATGGAACACCTAGATATATGTGTGGGCGTTGTGGAAAATTATTTCGTCATTCACAGCACCTTTCTCGCCATCAATGGAAATGTCTTCATAAAAAATGCTTTGTGTGCTCTAATTGCAAAAAGATATTTTTCCGTTCTGATTCTTTGGCCTATCATATGAAGATATGCAAGACTACCTAATTTATTTTGGATACTTTCCCATCCAATCTCATAATGCAAAAACTCCCAAACTTTTTATTTTCAGTTTTCATTAGATGGTTTTATGGATAGTACAAATTGCTACATTATTTAACCCCTTTCGTGTATTTGGGTGGACACAATTTTTCAGTCAGTAGCATCCTTGTTTTTATTTTCAGTCATGACATCTCTATCCAACATCTTTGTTGAAAATGACAGTGGCATATATAGTAAAGCACTTCAACAACATTTTGGTGCTGAGAAAATTCAAGTAATGGATGAAGATGGAACTCCTCGCTTTATGTGTGGTCGCTGTGGGAAAAAATTTCGCCATTCTCAACACCTTTCACGTCATCAATGGAAGTGTTTGCAAAAAAAGAGCTTTGTATGCTCAAAATGCATTAAAACATTTTTTCGCTTAGACAAAGTCAAAGAACATATAGCAAGACATTTTGTTACTGATGATACTTTTACACATTTTAAAGCTGAGCTGATTGATCCAGCGATCTGATTGAAAAAACTTTATTGTATTAATGTATTTATTAAAAATTATTTCTCAATCTGGCTATGTGATAATTTGTAAAAATGAAATGACTCATCATTTTAAGATATCAATTGTTTTTTGGTGTTTTTTTTTAAAAAAAGGCCATGTTTCTCTAAAGCTCTTGGAAACATTACTGTCATTCAGTTTATCCTTCAGTTATTTAAATTGCCAATGTACTGATTGTTCCTGGAACTTAAATACAAGTAATGTTTCTCCTGTTGGCAAGTTAAGACTGTCTCTTTCTTAATTGTATTTCAGCTGCCTGTCTTGTGAAGAATTCTTTTGCTGGCTTCTCACACGGGCAACATAAGTCTCATTATGGTTCCTACTATAAGAGGAGACGCTCTACTATTGCTAATCACACTTACACTCAAGAAGAGAGGGAAGCAATGGGCAGTTATGCCCTAATTTATGGCTCTACAGCAGCAGCTAGACATTTTTCTGCAATGTATCAAAAGCGCATACCTAGAGAGTCTATTAAAAATTTTGTAACTTTTTTCAAAAAGAAGCAGCAGCAATAGCAGTACGAGTGACTAGCTTGTCAGATGAATTAACCGAGAATTGAATTTGTTTTAAAATGAAATAAGATTGACATTTTATTCACACACTCTAAAATATAAAAATTTGCAAAGTTATATAGGGTTAATGCTTCTTGATAGAGGTCTGTAAAAAACTGAAACATTTTCACTCTTTCAGTTTCCTTTGATCTGGAATCTGCTGAGTTTCAAAATCAGTTTGTTCAAGTCAGAAGAAGATTAAGTGGAGCAAATGAAACATACAGCTATGAAGAGAAATTGCAAATTGGTCAATATGGGATTATTCATGGTGCTACTGCTGCAGCCAAATATTTTACTGAAATTTTAAAGAAGAGAATCCCCAGAACAACTGTTCATGGTTTTATGAAGTTAGCTTCAATAGTCAAGCACAAATAGCTAAATAACATTGTTACACATTATTTCTCTCCAAACTTTTCTCAACAGTTACTTGTTTTACTATATTTTTAATGAGCAGTTATTTTCTGTTAGTTAAATTTTATTACTCATGTAAAACAATCATTGAAGCATTCAGACAACTTTATTGTTAAAAACTCATTGTTATCCAATTTGATTTCTATTTCTAACAAGAAACTATCATACAGTATACATATGGAAGCAAGTGATTTTTAAAATGGTAGCTTCGACTGTTGATCGTAAAGTTTTTATGCTCTACTGTATTTTTAAAATAATATAAATAATTGTCCAAAGTTGTGGTATTGAGAATGCTAAATTTGTATTGAATGCAAATTAATGCTGTATTTGTAATGTGTGGATTTTAAGGCAATATTCTACCTTTATGATTTGTTAAATTCAACATGGTAACCTTCATAATTGTTTGTGTACATTTGTGACGCCTTTAGGAAATGATTTGGTCGACAATAAAAGAATATATTTAATGTACTGTTTTCTGTCTCATTTGAGTGCTTGCTAAAGATTTGAAAACATTAGCACTTTTTACTTCTTTTTAATGACCACTTAGATAACAGATGACTAAAGATTTATCTTTAACACAAATGTTCTCAATGGGCCACCACTGTTAATGTTCAGTATAAATTTAGGAAACTGGTTCAACATTTTAAGATAGGCCAGAGTATATGAGGATCAGCACTTTTTGGCCAAAATTTAAATTTTATAAAGCAAAGCAATACATTTAGTTATTTCACACACTAACCCTTAACAGAAAATGTTTTAAAAGATGTTCTTAAATCATGATGGAGTAAATTTTTTTAAAAATTAAGTAAAAGACGTCAAGATACATAAACTTAAAAAGCCATGTATAGAAATAATACTCAAATATCTATAAGTTAATAAGTATTTATGATTTAGTGAAATCCATCGAAGTCTGTGCATATTAGAGCAGTCGTGTAAAAAAATTGCTTGACCGTCTTACTATTCTTTAGAGGAAAGAACTTGCAAACTAAAATATCACTGCCTTTTAAATCTTTTTACATTTAATTTATTCCATCGTCTCAGGATTTTTCAAATCAATATACTGCATGTTTAAGTTTTTGTTGTATCAGTTAACAATTTTATTTTGTTGCTGCAATTTAAAACATCGTAGCTTATTTGTATGTATAGTTGAGACTAGAAAGTTAAAATAAAATTTAAAATATTTCAGCTCTAACTCGTGCTCAACAAGAAGAATTAGAAATGTACTATAGAAAAGGAACAGATCAACATTTAACATTCTTGGTGAGTTGTTTTTGTATATCTTAAGAAATCACCTTTTCTGGTTTAATTTACATTGGGGTGAGGGTTTTACAGAATAGAGCATTATTCCGTAGCAGGGTGTTAGTAAACTCAAAGAAATTTATTGTACCACAGTAATTGTTGCGAAACAGCTCACTTTGAATAATTTGTGTACTTATTATTTTTTAAGTTTTATATGGAAACTGCAGTTGCGGCATTTATGTCCATCCATAATTACTTCAGTGTCAATTTTACTTCAAAAGTTCAGAGAGGGATACTAGCAATTTCAGGCAACAGAACATGTAGGCAGCCATTTGTATGTCCCCTGCGTAAGCCGAGGCTCATCCAGGCTTACCTCCTTTTTAAAAACTTCACTTCTCTGAATAAACTGACTGAAATTGATGTGCCAGAAAAGCACTTTTTTGGGAGGGTAGTGGGGTAGAAAGTTATTTCCTCTCTTTAGTTTTCATTCCTAAAAATAATGTACTTGGTTGTTTAAAATTTATGCACTAATCCACAAAATGACACATACAAAACAGTTACTCTTGATGCTAGGCTGTTCTTTAAATAGTAGCCTGTTTTATAACTATAATAAAATTTATAATCCAACATCAACTCAATCCCCATAACCAAGACATAGATGATGGTGTTTTATTTTTATATAGATTAAGCATACTTAATACTTTTACAGTCTAATTATTATGTATTTATTTTTTGCAGCGCAATATGCGTGAGGCTCACGCTATGTACCCATTTACGGGTAAGCGTGATAAAGAACTTTTTGACAAAGCCCTAGCTGAGGTAGGTGTGAATATTTTTGAAACAAAAAGAACTGATCACATACAAATTCAGCTTGCTTTTAAAAATCTTGAATTCTAATTGTTTTCAAAAGGACTAAAATTTGAAAAATTTTTTTCTCCCTTTAAAAAAAGAAATTAAAACAGCAAGCTGCACATGTGGTCATTACTATTCATCAATTTTAAGCAACAAAAAACTTATGAATGTTAACTCTGCACCTGTTATAAGTTAGCTTCCTTTATCTTACTTATTTCTTTCATTTAAAAAGAAATCTCAAACTATTTAAATACACATTCAATATAATAGTTATACACATTTAATAAAATAGCTATTTAAAAGATAATGGTAAAATTGATGAATAGTTAAATGTTCTTATTAATTGCTTTAAAATGTAACATCACATTTTCTTTTATCAGAATCATTTGTTTGGAAAAATTGAAATAACTAAATAGTCAGAAAAAAATTCCTTAAAGTATATACCTAATTTTGTTCAAAAACACTGCAAGGAAGATGTGATGTGTATTTTTAAATATATTTGTTAGTTAATACTTAATTAGATTGATATAGATGCTCTTGTTTCACGCATGGAAATTAATTTTAAGCTGTTCCAATAGTTTTATGTTTGATTTTGATCATAAGTAGTACTAAGCAATCTTACAGCAAGAATAATAAAGACATACATTTCACTTTGATTGACAACTGCAGAGATACAGCTCAATTTATAAAACTCTGAAAGCTGAGACAAATTAACATTATCAGCATTGTGTATTGTACCATATTAGTCAAACACAGTAGCATAAACATAGGTCTTCACTTTCTCACCCCCCCCCCCCCCCCCCTTTTTTTTTTTTTAAAGATGGCTTTATCTCTGAAATTGATCAAGCTTAATACTGTTTACTTGTTCATATGCTATTTTTCTTATAAATAGCTGTAAAAAAAATTCCGTTAAAAGTGGGTCATAGTTTTTTTTTTTTAAATTATGCTGTGTAGTCTAAATATTAGAATATAAATAAACATTAGTCAACAGAAGCAATTTAACCAACCTAATAATTAAGGGTCATATTTCAAGTCTTTGCTTATCAGGTTGAAAAATTGTCAGTTTTTTTAAAAATAGTTTTTTAAGACCATAAATAAATTACTCCAAAATTATTACTTTTTATAATATATATTTATTTTTTATCCCATCCCCTTACTGTTAAGCCAAAAAACAGACATATGAACAAGTATTTCCAGTATACATTAATTTTACCAAAGCATCACACTTCTGGTTTACAGATTTTGATATTGGCTTGTATTGACCCTAAATAAATACAGTTAACGAACAGTGGGAAATTTTCTGATATTATAGTTACTAAGTATCCCATTTATACAAAACATTTTTACTATGTCAAGGAACCATAAATTATTATAAATTTATCATTTTGAAAAAAAAAATTCCTAAATTTAAAACTTTTTAAAGCCAATACTTGAGTCTGTATTGTCAACTGTTATTGAATTTTTCTGATTTTAATTTTATATTATTATTTATATCATGTGTGCAAGTTGCTGAAAAAATTCGAGGAATATTGTTTAAAAAAAACACTTCAAAGCAGACTTGCATTATATGATAAGCATAAGAATGTATTAATTGATGAGTATAATTAATAATATCTAAATACAACTGATTAATTGACACATAGGGAGAAAGTGGGGGCGGGGTATGTTTTATTGCACAGAATGTTTTATAAATATCAGTTGTGTATGGATGCCATTAAATGTAAAACTCACTGGTTTTCAACAATTGATTTATATGGGATAAATTATACATTGAGTTTTGCATTTATTAAATTAATTAACAGTATAGTTACATTTGGTAACCATGCATTCAATGAAACAAGAGCAACTATATTTAGGATAAAGAGCCCTTTTGATTTTGGTGCTGTGGTGAAACAAAAAGTTCAAAACTTGATAGTGGAATCAAAATTTAATCAAAATTTATCACGAAACCATTTCGGACCATTTTATTTTTTGACACAAAAAGTAATACTAGTTCCTTTTGGTTGTAATCCCTTACATCAGTCCAATATATTCTGAGCACCTTGTGGTCTTTTATAGTTTAGGTCTTTGTTAGGTCTATTTTTCTTCTAAGCTGTATTAGAGGTCTCATTCTTCTTGTTGAAGTTGTGCATTTTAAATGCACTGTTCTTTCTTGATTTGTCTTGAGCAGTGAATTGAAGCTAGTTCTTACTGAGAATTTTCATGCTGGACAAAATTTACTTTTTATCAGTTTTACACTTTTTCTGCTTGGTTATTTGATACAAAATATGATTAATAGTTGCTTTTAATAAATGTTAGAGGACTTAGTTTCATTTTACAAACTTGGAGGAGGGCATGTTTAGGCTTCAAGAGGTAAGTCATTTAAAGGAATAACCAGGGTTAGGAATGCCCTGACCTCCAATTCTCACTTGAGATCACCTCCCAAACCAGCTAGTTCGACGAATGCCTTTGCTTTGTGGAAATACAACTCGCCTAACTGAATATCTATATTGCAATGCGAAAGCAAAGATGGCATACAGGCGCAAGGCCAGCTCTGGAAAAAGAAGTAAGTTTTTTTTTTGATACATGTGGAGTCCAATCATTATCAGTTGTCATACTAAAAAAATCATTTTTTTTAAAAAAAGCTGCCTGGTTTTTTTTTTTACTACCTCTGCTGTTGAATATCTGATGTGCTACAGTTTGATGCTACTACTATAAAGTGTATTATTTTTTCAATGTGTTGCTGCTCAATGGGGGTGTTGGAGGGGATGTACATGATCCAACTTTTGAACATAATGATCTTGTATTTCTTAGGTTATCTCTTTTTCAACATTTAGAAAAAGGTCTTGTTCATTTTTTTGGATAAGTTAATCCGTATGTTGGTTCGCCTCTATACATTGTTGAGATGTGACAATAGTTGTTAAACATTCTAGTGCTCTTGATAGCATTGTAGTGGATCAGTTTTTCTGTATTCTTTTATTTGTAGACAGAAGGGCTCTTTAATAGGCTTGGTATAAAAAGTTCTTTTAAACAGTTATGCAATGTTTTATGGCAGATGTTTTTGCGGATTCCTATTTTGTGGTATGACTATCGGCGCACTCGAGTTTATTTTTCAAAAAACTGTCGTGCTAAATTGTCTTACAGGAGGTGCAGAGATAAAAGTAAGTTAATTGCATAATACGGAGCTAAGCATTGAAAAAAGTTTGTTCTTGCCAAAAACTGTGCTGAAATAAAAAGGGGTCAAAATATTAACACAGAAAACTTAAGTGCTCATTCTGTTTGTGGCAGCTTTTACAACGTATGCCTCTGCTAACTTATCAAAGTTCAAGTTATTTGGAAAAGTATGTCTACAAAAACTGCATGGCTAAAATATCTTTAAGACGTTGCAGATTCAGAAGTAAGTAGTACATGGACATTTTCTGTGTTACCTGACACTAAAAGGGCTCATTTTCCTACCATAACTTAAAAAACAGACTTCTGTTGAATGTTAGACTCAGATGATGTTACTACCCTTCTTATTCAGTTATTTCAAAGAATGCCACTTCTTATTCATGAGCCTTTGAGAGTTGAAGCAATATTTTATACCAACAGTATGAAGAAGATGTCTTTGAGGCGGTGTAGATTGAAGGACTGCAGTGAGTTAATTTGTATATTGAATGTTTATATCTACAACGAAAAAGAGGATTTCTTGTCGATAACTTCCCACAGCACTGATTTTTCCAATGTAAAAACATATCAGTATTGGGTATTAAGATGGAATGATACTGGAAAGCTGTAGTGAAGATACATATCCTAGTACTTGAATGTTTTTGTCCCAGCTTTTTACAAGAATCCCACTTTTGCGCTACAATTTGGAACGCACACAAGCTGTCATGTATGTAAATACTATGAAGCAAGTGCAAAGGATGAGGAAAAAGTCTTTTTTCTGTAGTAAGTATGCCCTGTTTCAATATTCCCTTCTATAATGGCTCATCTGGCATAGTTTCTTCAAGACTCTGGTTTGTGTAAGGGATTACATAAAAAGTATGTTTGTAGGACCGCTCTTGAAAGTGGCAGGCGTAAGAAATAGTCTTTTTATTACTTGTATCAGCTTTTTGGGCGTATGCCTCTGTTGCGGGAGAATGCTTTAAAAACAGAGAACATTTTCTACGAGAATGCTAGTCGAAACTCAAGGCGATGGCGTCATAAGTGGGTGCGGTGTGAAGGTGAGTTTACTTATTGACCCATGTATTTGGTGTTTTTACTTGCAAGCAACCTAACGAGGTATATTTGATTTGTGATGGAAGGGATTGCAAACTTCTCCCCTCTCATAGTTCATTGTCCTTAAAAAGTAAATGGCAATCTAAACAAAATCGCGTCAAAATTAACATTCTTCATTCTTTTGGTTATCTTTGTTTTTTTTTTTTTTTTTTTTTTACTTGTTCTCTTAAAAAAACAACCAAATTACTCTAACACACCAGCTTTTCCTTCGTATGCCTGTTCTCAAATACCACTCAAAAAGAGCTTTGGAGACTTTCTATATTAATGCAACTCGGAAAATGCAAAAAAGACGTTTGAGGGCTACTATTACAGGTAAGTAAAGAATCAAGTGATAGTGTTGGGAATTCAACCAGATTCCAAGACGTACATTTCTTGATACAGAGCTTATTAGTTCTGACATCTTTTCTTCAAGTCAGCTTGCTTGTATAATAATTCATTAGTGGAAAAAATCACCACAGTACTGATTTTCTTCACTTTTTAAGTGATGAGCTACATGCAAAGAAAACTTGTTCGTCACAGATTTTGAAACGATTGCCTATCCTGAAGTTCTCATGCATGCGAGCTCAGCACTTCATGTATGTTAATTCCATGAGAAAACTTCAACTTAGGCGTCAGCGGGGTGAGTTATATTGGAATTTGTTACTTAACAGTGGATTTTCAGTTGTGTTGTTGACTTTGCTGCTTGGTTTAATCTGCGAAGTTGTTTGTAAGTCGGATTTCCTCTTTGG